TTTGTTCCTTGGTACAATGGTACCTCAGCTAACAAACGCTTCTGTTCACAAACAATTTGGTTCACAAACAGAAGCATTCAACAAAATTTTGCTTCTGTTAGCAAACTCCACATCAGGTGACAAAATGACCACAACCATCTTCTCCAGAATTGTGGTTTGAATTGAGTTCATGAACTGTAAGTACTCCAGTATTGGTTTCACAGTGGCCAGCAATCCAGGCATTCGACTCCTACAGGCAAGAGAGAAGGAAGTCTGGCCACTGCTTCAGCTGTTAACAAACCTTGGTGTCACCCACATGGTGCTGGTTTTAGGCACATGCAGAATGCAAGAGTTGTGGGGTCAGGAAGACTTTCACCCAGATTTCAGAAGAAGGCCAGGCAGTGTGCCCCTGAGAGGGCAGTGTGTGAAGTTGTGAGTACGAAGCTGAAGGTGCAGTGGAGACCCCAGAAGGTTGGAGAAGCCAGGAATGTGGATCATTTGAGGTAAGTTGCAAGGAGTGAGCCCAAGAGAGAAGCCATGAGGGCCTCAACTGACTGTATACATGGGGCAATCCAACCCTTTGGAGTTCATATCATGTTACAGATTGCCCCAGATGCTGGACATGGAACTACAGGACTTAATGTTCGCCCTGCTGGATTTTGGTTTTGTTTTGGTCTTATTCCTTTCTATCCCCCTTTTTGTACTTTTTGGAATGGGAATGTTTATCTTGTGCCATTGTATGTTGGAAGTATCTAACTTTCATTTTTAAAGGGGCTTGCAGCCAAGAATTTGCCTTAAATCTTAGAGGAAAATTTGGATTTGGACTTTTCAGCAATGCTGAAACTGTTAGGGGCTGGGGATTTAGCTCAGTGGTTCCACCACCTGCCTTGCAAGCACAAGGTCCCAAGTTCAATCCCCGGTATGGCAACTCTTAGAGATGGACTTTTGCATGTGCGTGAGTCTCTTAGGGGCCAGGGGCCAAATATTATGGCTTATATCTGTATGTCCCTCCAAAGCCTTAGGCTCCCATAGGTGGAGCTTGAGGGGTGTGTGTGTGACTGGATCATGGCTGTGTGAAATTGGAACATGGGTGTGTGATACTGGATTAGTCCACTGATGGGTTTATAGCTGGGTATGATCATGGGAATTGAAGTCTGGTGGGAGGAAGTAGGTCACCGTCGGTATGGCCTGTCAATGCAATATATATATATATA